AGTGCTCGCATCGCAGGCGCGAATTTATATGTGGTCCCATTTGTAACAGCCTCTTCCAGTATTGACAACGAAGGTGTATCTCCATTAGCCACGGCGTCCACTAGACGATTCGTCTGACGAAGCTCTTCAAGTGTCTCCTTCTTTCGCTCTGCTCTTTTTATCTTTGGACGTCCCGACTTCTTTGCTGTTTTAGACACCTTCCAGCTTAGTTTTACACTCTCCGGTTTAGATGGATCATTATCTGGAAATGACACAGTTCGCTTCTTGAATACATCATCGTTTTCTGACTGCTCCGCAGCTCCATCAGGGTTCACAGCTTGACACAGCGTTTTGGATTGGTCCACAGTTTCCGATTGGTACCCAGTTTCCGATTGGTGCACCGTTTCAGACTGGTCCATAGCCCGAGACATGATTTTAGATTCGCACTCGTAGCGAGTAGTACCTTGATCACTGTTTGTAGAGTCATCCTCCATCTCTTCAATAAGCGATAAAAGCGCCCTTCCTTTAGGAGACAACCGGACCTCCTCCATATCCTGATCATCAGTGTTAGCATCTAACACAGTCTGAAGCTGTGAATCAGAGTCAGGTTGTGGAACCGTTTCAGACTGAGCTGTAGCTGTGTCCGTAATACGAGAATCCGCCAGCACTTCTGTTTCACGCTGTTCTTCGCCGTCATCTCGTTGTAGATTCAGGTTTATTTCTGAATCTTCAAGAACGCTAACAGTGGGGCACTGACCAGCTTTAACATTATCCAAGAATTGCATCATCGCCTTAGACAGCGTCTCATGTGCCCTAGTGCCCCACCGAGAACCCACGTCTGCAATCTGTCTTCCAAGACCAAAAAGCACGTTGAACTTCTCACGTTCGGTCTTGGTCCGTCCTATACACGGCCTCTGAACGGTGCGCACTTCGTACGGACTCGTTAATTCATCGTCCTCCAGATATTGTCCCTGTCTCAGTCGCCGATAGCTCTTCACGATACCAGCGTGGGTGGATTATGCTCTCTGGAACCAAACTGTTACACTTTGAAACCTTTCTGTAATAGATGATATGGCGGCACGGCAATAGTCTTGTAACACGAAAAATGCACGAGCATGTCCAGCCGCTGGGATTCATCATGTATTCGTCTAGCACGTCGTCTTCTTTTCCAGCAGAATATTGCATCATCACATACGACCCCATGGGATAGTGTCGGTATTCAGTTGTCGGGAGGAGTGCGAAGTCGTACTGCTGCTTCACAAGCTCCAATGCGTGTCGAGACACGGTGGTGAGCAGTAAGTTCATCTCTGCATCGTATTCCACGTTCATATACACACCGATGCGCTTGACATTTCGGGCCCACATCTTCTCATTTACCGTCTGCCAAAACAGAATGGAAACTACACAGTCATTCAAGGCAGAAGACCTATTGACGAGGGTCTTCAACTTCTGCCAGCTAGATTCCAGTCTATATATATTGATAACAGTTAGTATCAGCAACAGTTCACTGGTAAATCAAAAGCTGACCTATTATTCGTTTGGTTTCCCATATGAGGAGTGTTGCCACGAAATACTGAGCTCCATTTCTCTTTACAGGACGTCCAATTGGCATCGAGGTATTTGAACCAGAGCTTTCCCCTTCTCATCCACCCTCAATACCACTTTCATTGTGGAAATGATTTTGTCGTACGCTGTCTCGGTCGGCGCGCTGACCACCAGTTGGATTAGTCTCTTCATCTCTTTCTTGGTTCACGCGTCGAGGTTGTACGCATCTTTTGAAACTTCTTCCTGCAGAGCCTTGACTGCATGGAAATGGCAGATTAAGATCCTGACCCCAGGAAAATCCTCCTCTAACAGTGGCAGCTCCGTAAAGTCGTTGTCGATAATGATGACTGCCACCGCATCATAGGATGGATTGCACTCCTTGAACTGACTACAGCCAAGCCGAAGAGTCTCTTTCCTCTCGGTTTCGACTAGGCAGTGCTACGAAGTTAAAAAAAAACGCGTTTAATTAAAACAATACTATAGTAAGTATCAATGTTATCGTAAGCCACAGTCCCAGCATCGCACACAATCTTAGACGGTGGACCAGTCTCTGCGTAATTGCACAACCCACCTGTACATGTTGGCCCTTGCCCATGGCATCATGAATCATGAAACTAAATAGTTTGTAGTTGGAGGAGTTGGTATCGTGGGTCGCGTCAATCGGCAACACTTCTGGAAAGTGCTTGAACATGGATCGCATGTGCACAAACTGGATGGATATACACTGTGCGACCCTCTTGCCTCATTACAATACCTTCGAGGTTAGCGGACGTAAAACAGAGTTAGAAGACGTAGCACGTACCTCTTCGTTTAAGTAGATCATTGCAACATTCCCACTCTGCGAAGAAAAATCCTCTAGGATGGATTGAATACGCTCCTCAATCGTTGGAAACGCGTAGCTTTCTTGCTGAAGTCGAGCTACCAGGTTGTGCACATCCTTCATCGAAGGTTCCACGGTACTGTTCTCTGTTATGTATTCGAGAATACGCTTTCGACTGGCTCCAGCTCTGTGAAGCGTTCGAATAGTAGATATCACCTCACCCTCAGAGACATTGCGTGCTTCGTGGTAGGTCTGATAGATCTCTTGGCTGATGTCGTGGCTATGCCCGGTTTTCTGTCCGGTGATGCAAACCTCCCAATTCCCAGTTTCTCGTACACATGCGTTAATCTAACCGCGAAACAAATCAGTTACAGTTATTTTTCACTTCGAAGACTTCACATACCTGGGCAGGACACCCGATTTTTCTTGAATGTTGGTTAGGGCGCGAGCCTTGACCTCTGTTAGACCGTGGCTTTTCAGAATGTGTACACACGTAGGTCTTGTTGTTGAACTGCACTTCTTCTGGCAGAATGGTGCCTGGGGTTTTGCTTTTGCTGATTCTTTGGTTCTTGTGCGAACGGGTGTATTTGTTCGAACAGAAATATCTATCACACAACCTAAATACAGAATGAGCATCAATCGACAAGAATACAATGATAAGCATTGTAATAATGTGATACAGTCTCAGACTGTGCCACAACTTGAGATTGGCACCCAAACCTGGTATGTTCAGCGACCGTAGTTCCGTAAGTACGCCTCCAGTGTCTTCCAGTCATCGAACATCTTCACGTCAATCTTCGAAACGTGAACCAGATCATCATGAGCGACGATATCACCATCCCCAGAGCCACGATTCGAAACGGTAGCGTTGTTTCCGCTGGTAGTGTCCGGTTCAGACGCACCGGAGGATTCGGAGCTGTCATTGGTGCTGATAGCGTCAGATCCAGAGACGTCCGAAGACATTTCACGGCTGTGTGAGCGAGAGCGCCTCTTCCTATGGTCACGTTTTCGGGGTTTAGGCAGCTTACCCCCACTTCGGGTTCTACGACGCGAAATATGCGTGCTCGGTCGTTTCTTCTTGCGCGTCGGGGCTCGCTGGCGTAGCGATGATCTAGAAGTTTTGGCAGCACTGTCACTATCGTTACTACTGGAAGCCTCACTTCCGGATGCTTCATCGCTCCGTTTTGGCGCGCGGGCGTGTCTGCGCGGCATTCCGGAGGCTAAACCCAAGCCATGTGCTCGCTGTGTGGATTGAATTTGAAATGAACGGAAGGAGGGGGTCGCCGGTCAGAGCAGTGTTGGCACGACGGCCTAAACCAGTTTAGGCCACAGTTGGCCTAAACCTAATTTCGCCTCGACGTTTAGGCCAAAAGGCCATGGCCGGTACGGCCTGACCAACGTCGAAGACTGCGATGTGCGGCACAGCAGATCCCCCCCACCAAGTAGGAACACAACACCAAGTAGCCTCGAGTCGAGGCTCGACGGTATCGAAGCACTCATTACATCCTCCTGATTCTCGGCGTGCAAGATGACAAGTCGGCGCGGCGGACGGCCAGGATGTCCAGAAAGCGTGCATTTCATTGCTCTGAGGGAGCTGGAGAAAGCAAAAGGAGGATATACGTACCACGAGTGCAGGTTTTGTCGAGCTGCCTACGATAATGACGTTACCACCGCGCTCTTGAGGGCGATAATGGGTAGGGCGCGAAACTTTCGGACACATTTAGCTGAATGTATCAACTATAAGGCGACCCAACTACGGCCTTTATCGCCAGTATCAGCAGGGACCGATGCCAGTCCACCTGAGACTCCCTCAGCTATGCAGCAGCCAACTCCAGAGTCTATTGCGTCTAGGACACGCTCGCAATCTATTAATCGAAGCGCCACTGTCCAACTCCGAACGACACAAGGTGCACGTGCTCGCCGGTCATTACTCCTAGACAAACGCTCTACTTCCACCAAGCGCCACTCCCCATTGAAGAAGAAACACAGGCGTCAATTTACGCAACGTGAGCGTAAGGTGATTGAGTTCTCGTTGATAGAAATGCACGCAGACAACCATCTTCCTGATCGATTCATCGAACAAGAATCCGTCTTACGCTTTCTCGACATAGTTTCACCAGGACTCCGCGACGTTCTTCCCTCTAGACGCGTCTTAGGTGGTCGAGTACTAAAGGAACATGCTACCCGCTGCGCTGAAAAGGACACTGAAACCCTTCGGGCCTTACAAGAAGAAACAGGAGGCCGTATCAATATTTTGTCTGACGTGTGGAAAAATATCTCCAAAGAGCATCTATTAGGTGTTCAACTGACGCTTTTTGGTGTCGTTCTCACCTACTCTCTTGAGCCTTGTGATGATCGCCACGACGGCTTGTCAACTGCTGAAGATCTTGAAACGATAATCAAACGAGCTATTAAGGACGGGTGGAGTATCGGTGCCTGTGTAACAGACAATGCTGGTCAATGTGGTCGAGCTCGGCGCATTTTGGCGATTCGATGGCCAAATATTGTTTTTATCATTTGCTTCGCTCATGATGTCAACAACTTGGTCAGATCCGTGCTGAAAACTGCATTTCCAATAGTGGCGGGGCAAGCGGCCGACGCTGTGAAGTGCCTAAACGCTTCATCTTCCAAATGGCTCAAGCGTGCAACCAATTTGATGAAGAAATTTTATGGGCGGTCACTGGGCTTACGCACATTGTGCGAAACGAGATGGAACTCCATGCAGGGATGTTTCGCGTCTCTATTACGTGTACAGTCCGCTCTCGAAATGCTCTACCGGCAGTACGCAAGCGACGTAGACTTTCCTTTGGACCGATCCCAAATTTTGGAGTGACCTTAAAATTGCTGAAGCTGTAATTTCGCCACTATCATACGCTTCCTATAGGTTACAGCGTGATGAGAACACCGTCGGAGACGTGGTCCTGTCGTACCGCGACATCTTTAAAGGATTTTCTAGACATGGCGACGAGCTCGTCAAATGCGTCGAAGAACGGTGGAGGGAGTGCGAACAACCGCTTTTTATGCTTGGATTTGCTCTTCACCCGACCTACGCGGATGAAGCACGCACACTACCAAATACTTCCATCTCTGGTGTTGGTACACTACCAGCAATCGCAGTGTATTATTACTGACGATTGTTTTCTACAGAAGATGTTGGTGTTCTCAGAAGTGATATGTTTGCTTGGATGCAACGCAAGTTCACGAGGACGAGACCAAGCGAATTCAAAGGGTCGGTTTCGGAATACTGGACATATGTTGCTGTGCAAAAGCCCGAAAGTCTTCTTCCAAAACTAGCATTAGCGATTCTATCCATCGCGGTGAACACCGCAACATGTGAGAGACTTTTTAGCGCGCTTGGACTGATCCACACGGCCCAACGCAACCGCATGTCGGCAACAAAAGCACTCGACTTCCAGACGGTGGCAAAACATGCGCGACAGCGCGCGCAAAAAGATGCTGCTCGAGATCCACGTAAAAAGCTGCTTATCAACCCTGCTGAACGCGAAATTCTTCGAGATGCACACGTTGGGCCTTTGACACCATCCCCACAACGAGAACCAGAACCTGCTGGTAATAACAATGATGCCGAGAGTGATGACGAGGACCCTGGTGATTCTGTCGATGGTCCAGCAACGATAACCCAATGGGACGAATACCTCAAGATCGTTTTAGAGGATGAAGAAATTGCCGCCGGCTACGCTGAAGTAGAAGAAAGAGGAGCTCCTTACATCCATGCTGGGAATGGCGGATACCAACCCCCGGAAAATGACGACGAATTTGAAGAAATTCCAGCCCCAGTCATAGTCCGATTCCCTGACGTGAATGACAAATTCTTCCCCCAGGAAAAGAAGCTGTCCGGGTTTCGTAGTCAAAAAGCCAGCCTCCGAGAGCTGTTTGAGTACCAGTGACATTTCCTCTTTTAAGAGAACTTCTCTTTGTTGAACTTCGTTTTTAATCTCCTAGTTCACTGAAAACATTTTATTTTCTCGTTCGTCGTGGAGGAACACAAGGCTTGTATAACCGTAGCAGGAAGCGGAGCGGCTGTCCGATAGTGGTGGGTGAATTGAAGTTCGTAGTAATATGCTCAGAACTTATAACAATTGTTTTGGTAAAAATATTTTAGCAAAATGAGTATGGTTAACGGGGTAAAGTGGATCGTAGTTTTATAGACCAGCATGATAGCCTCCGACTTCATAGCTCAAATATTGGCGGAGTAGTAGCATTTTACGTAAGGCAACTACCAAAGTATCAGTTATATCCTACACGAACGAATCATTATGTTTATACTATTAAATAAGATTATAGTGATTAAACTGAAATGATAAAATAGTTGCCATTTCCCAAAATGCCGCGTCCGACAAAACGCACCAAGCAGCTGAAGGTCCTAGCTGACGAGAAACGCCGAAAGCGCGCCCAAGAAGCGGGACGTCAGGTGCTAGGAGAGCTGGCTGAAGTGACTCGTCGAACTCAGTGGTGCTCACCTTCGATGGAAATTCTGGAAGATGATACCGACTCAGATGACAATGGCTCCGATTTCGAAGAGGGTCCCAACCTGTTTGTGATGGATGCACTTTACGCGAAAAAAAACAAACCAAGCAGGAGAAGTTTTTTATTTAGTGAGTTGGGTGAATTACGACCGCCTAACATGGCAGCCGGAACACGACCTGCTGAACAGGCTTATTGCAGACTTTAACCGGGAAGAGCTTGGAGTCTTTTGGCCAGTCGATTTCAGACCGAACATTCCGTACGGTTTTAACGCAGGGCTTGGTGCCAACGGGGCTAGAGCAAGACGTACCAACACAAATTAAGTAGCGGACATTTATTATTATTGAATGGTACATCGGTTGTCGATTCATCACTTTGTGTTCAAACTTGATCAGGTTGTTCAAGCCGGCAATGATCCACGAGTCCAACACGACCGAGGAATCCAGAGCAGCCTCACGTTCAGGAACGGAGGCAACTACAGTCTCAAGTTGCAAGTGAGTGGCCTACTACGCGCAGATGCGAACCAAGTTTAACCACGGGAGAAAGATATCGCGGAAAATGCCATGAAATCACAGGGACTGAAACCCAAGCGGCTCAGTACACACCACAGGCGGCTTGATGAGGTACAGACGCAGCGCATCAGCTCCGTACTTCTGCAGGATCTCCTCAGCGTCCGTGAAATTCTTGAGACTCTTGATCATCTTGCGACCAGCTCAAGACCATTCACGATGAGGTCTTGTAGAACAGTGTCATGGAGAGCACGATGAGCGTGTTGAAACGGCCACGGATCTGGTCGAGATCTTTAGCCACGGAATTGGCCGGGAAACCGACCTCGAGCTTCTCCTCATTCTCGAACGGGTAGTGCTGTGCTCTCAAACCACTTCGAACACATGACGAAGCACACTTTTACTCAGTAATAAATTGAACGTATTAATCTAATTCACTGAATATTAGTACGTAAAATGTATGGCCTTTTCTTGGCTTTTAGGCCATCTGCCACGACAAAAGGCCCATCGGCCATAGGGGTTTAGGCCAAATGGCCGAAACCTTTGGCCTTTAACCCACACTGGTCAGAGGGATGGTCATGGAATGGCTCAGTCCATCTGGTCGGGGAAGGGGATACACATCCCACTGTATTGGACTTTCTTCCTAAAAAAAAACGGTGTACGCAGCCATTCTCCGAGAATGGCTGCGTACACCGTTTTTTAGAATTTCTCGAGGGGAGTGCGCGCCATTGCGAATTTCTGGGTGGATAGTTGCAGTTTAGCACGTTTTTTGTACTCTGAATTAGGAGATCTAGACTTGTGCGCTGTTCCATTCTCGATATGTGATTGGTTGGAGGGCAGTCTGAATTAGGAGATCACTCTGAAGTAGGAGATCTCAAATACGCAGGATCCGATGTCGATCTAACTGACAGGTCATCGTTTACTTCTGGAACTGTCCATTGTGATGTATTCGAATAAACATTGATCACCGTCGCGACGTAAACGAGAAATTCTGCTATTCGGACCGGTTTGCATCGTCCAGTACACGTACATGTATTGCATCATTTCATTGTATTCAAATACTTCGAGTAGTCAACAGTAAGGCGAGGTCGGCTATGTACCAAGCGATCGAGCAAGGATTCAAGCTGGGATTGTCTGCTTACGATAACCCTATTACGTGCATCATCCAATGTTGCATCATGTGACTGACTCTTTACCTGTGTGGGGTGACAGAGACAAAGGTCCTTTGTCGGTCAGCAGGGTCACTTCGAAACTTGCCTGGAAGAGCACACGCCTTGCGATGCTGAAGGTGATCGCTATTGGATTCGCGGCTCTCACTGCCGCCACTGTGCGTGCATCCGTCACTCTCAACAACACCGATTGCACCTGGGACTCCATTACCTGCTTACCGACGGCACTATGCGAATCCACCGGTGACAGTTTTCAACCATGCCGTGTCAAGGACAACGTAGATTACTACCCCCAGCAACTTCACCTTGCGTACGCCGGTAAGAATGCTGGAACAGCTATGACAGTGTCGTGGTCCACGTACGCCAAGATCGACGACAGCTCCGTTTGGGTCGGACGTTCCGAAGACGCCCTAGAGCTGGTTGACACTACTGTGACACAAACCAGTTACTATCATGATGCTACCTACAACATGTTCCACCACCATGCAATGGTCTCCGGTCTCACACCGCATACTAAATACTACTACAAGGTGGGAAGCAAGGCCAACGCGCAGTACACCAGCGACGTACATTCGTTCTTGACCGCTCGTGGTGCGTCGGATGACAGCACGTTCAACATGGTGATCTACGGAGACTTTGGGGCTGGCAACGAGTTAAAGGACACGCTTGCCTATGTGAACACGTTGAACGCGGATAACGTGGACCTGATGTATCACATCGGTGACATTGGTTACGCTGATGACGCATGGCTGATGCCCGACCAATTCGACGGATTCTTTTACGAGAAGGTCTACAACGGATGGATGAACTCGATGGCCCCAGTAATGAGCTCAGTTCCGTATATGGTATTGGTTGGAAACCACGAGTACGAGTGCCACTCACCTGCCTGTGCTGCATCAGCTGAGCGGATGAACATGCTCCGTAATTTCACGGCTTACAATACTCGATTCCACATGCCGTCGAAGGAAGTTGGTGGAACTCTTAACATGTGGTATTCCTTCGAGCACGGGCCGATCCACTTCACTTCGATCTCTTCTGAGACGGACTACAAGGGTGAGCCTAGCAATGAATTCGCTGACCCACCTCGCAATGGTAACTTCGGAGACCAATTGGCATGGGTCGAGGCTGATCTCAAGAGAGCTGATGCGAACCGAGCCAATGTGCCTTGGCTCATTGTCGGTATGCACCGTCCGCTCTACGATGTGTCCGGCTGTCCGAACGGAGTGCCGGCAGACAAAAACGCTAACATTCAGGCTGCGTTTGAGGACCTTCTCATCAAATACAAGGTGGATGTGGTGCTGACGGGTCATCAGCATTATTACGAACGGCAAACTCCTATTCGTAACAGCACTGCAGTGCTGGATGGAGTCTCGAGTGACTTCACACGCTACGACAACCCCCAGGCGCCGGTTTACATTGTGAGTGGTGCTTGTGGAACGGTTGAGGGTCTTGACATGGCCCCCGATCCAAATAACGTGACGTGGAATGCAGCCTCAAACTACATCGACTACGGGTTTTCAACTCTGGAAGCAAATCGATCGATGCTTTCGTGGAAGTTCTTGAACAGCTCGAACCAGGCTGTACTTGATGAATTTGTCATGTGGAAGACATCTCCGTCGACGGAAGGTTGCAGTGACGTCGGTCAACACTAAAGTTTCAATTCCCTTAGTGCCACTGCATAACCTACATTGGTGAAAACGAATGAAACCACAAATAAGAGAACCCTCTTCTAAATTCATTGTACTGTACCTACATTTTTTATCCGCCAGATTCAAAAACACCGTTAGCCAAAAAAACACGCCCCCAATGTTTTTCATTTGGGCTAGGGGACAGTAATCATGGATTTTGCCCATGGTTACTATGATTTCTACTTCCTCCGTCCGAAAAAATAAGCAGGATAGGCGGGCAAAATTAATTTTAAGAACAGAAAACTTTTAAACGAGCAGCTGATTGGTCTTAATTGCTGGTTAGCTTACGGCAATTGTTTTGGTCGACGTTTGAAGCAAATCGGCCACCTGGTCGCAAAGTTATCGTTATGCAAAGTTCGTGGTGAAGATGTGATATTTGAAAATCTTTCGCCAGGATGTCAATTTTACACGGAATGTCATAGAAACCTGTAGAGATGTAGCACGTGAGATTCTCTGTTTAGCGGTGCCGTGTTGTAACGGGGTACGTAGCACTAAGTGTACCCTGGTTACATGAAGTGTGACACTTCACACTTCAGGAGTATGACATGTCATACTCCGGGATATTTGGTACAAGGTACCAAGGTCATTCAAAACCAACCATTGGTTAAATGACATTGCATTTCTATAGGTAACTGATAGTTTGTATTAACCACAAACTTAACCTACCTATAAATATACTCAGTTTACAATCTACCTTATTTAGGTCACTTCGCTCTCTTTAATTAAAGAGGGGACCTGTGAACTGCCGTTCACTGAGAGTTTGTATACTCTCGGAAGATAACTTCCTCTAGCGCAAGGTGCTGTGTGACCCCGTCACACGTGTAGAGTGCCTAAATATTTCTACGGTCTCGTTTGCAGCGGCCGACAACAACAACAGCATTTGTATGGGAGTACTTAGGTGGAATTCGACAGTACTATCAAATGACTTGAATTTGTAAGCATGCCGCTTTTATTTTCGGACACGGTTTAAACAGATGCCCCGCTTATATTTTCGGACAGAGGAAGTACATGATTTCCCCGAAGTATATTACGGAGTGAGGTATTTTATTTTGAGCATGTATTCCCCATGTTGGGTCACGGCCTAAACATTATCGCACCACTACTTGATAATTGAATCGCCGGCGCAGCAATCCCACTGTCGTGTAATCACTTCCCATTTCCTAAGCGAATCGTCGCCGAAAGTGCAAGATGATGAATAGACCACAGTTATCGCTGTCCTTTTGGATCGGGCTGTGTGCCGAGACGACATGGTACTCCACTGAAAGAGCCTTCCGCTTAATTTCTTCCGCCAACTCTGCGAGCAGGTTCTGGTTCGACCGGTTGTCAAAACTATCGTAGCTGTAGATAGTTGTTCTTGGTCGATCAATAACGAGGCACACCCATCAATTAAAACGAGAAGCACCGGGATGACATCTGCAGCAGTGGAAAGATTGAAGATCGCCACTGTCTACAGCGTCGCTATTCTCGTCGCTATTCTCCTTTGAAATGTGGTCAGCCTTATCATCACCAACGTCTCAGGTTGGCCCCGCAATATCATCGGTGTTCTGAGCATTTAGTACGCCATCAAACACAGCCTCGGCCATCATCATACTCCCAGAAGAGACTTGCAGCTCATCGTCATCGAGCAGATTGTCCGCATCGCTACTGCTACTTGACGATACTTCCATGTCCAGGGCTCTTAAGATGCTGGCGGTATTCTTTGTCCGAACCATGATGCTGTGTAACATCAATACATGGGAGAAACATGAAATAAACATGGAAGACCTCTTTAGCCTGACTATCTATCATCGCCACGAAGGTCATGGATCAAACATACCTGAACAGAAACTCCAGCGAGTACCAAGTGACAGTAATGCAGTGGTTACTAAGTGACAGTAGCTCACAAAGAGTTAGTTAAAGAGTTAGTTATCGAACATGCATCGCATAGGAACATCGTATAAGATGTGTCATACCGTTTCGTAGAGAACTCTGGTCGTGCTTCTCAACTGCTTCACGGTGGTGTATTGCGCGTATGAGCGATTCTGGGCGAGCTGCAGGCATTTCATCAGCAGCAGCTGCATCCATATCCAATCAACAAACATATTCGCACCTCTTCGAGGTTTCTCTACTTCGGAGCCTTTAAAGCGAACACAGAGACGATTAAAGGCCTGGAATCAGGTTCTGGGGCGGATGAGACGCCTCTATAGTCCAACACAACATGATTCAGCAGCAGGAAGAGTTAGTTTGCGTCCTGTACGCGTCAGTGAAGATGATGGAGCATAAGAGATTCTGCATACTTGCGGGCAGACGTGGAGGGAGGCGCTGTAACGACGCACCAACGTCACAGCCAGCGATGGCCATGACGTTGGTACCAATGCGTCCTACTTTCTTCAATTTTCTTTCTACTTGGCTTTGCTGACTGCCAACCGTCTTCTTAAGTTGCCAATGAGCGGACACGTCTGACCGGAAGGCAATCACCATGTTTGGACGAGTATTGCCAAATATGGAACTTCAATGACAGTCAATCTTTTTCATTTGAATTCACTATGGAGATTCTGACCCGGTTCAAATAGACCGCGGTTCACTACTACGCTACGCTACTTCAAGATTCGACTCAAGGACTACTTAGAATCTAGTATAGTGAAATGCATATACTTACATAGGATACCAAGGAAATGGTAACAAGCACTTCCGCGTAGCCGACAAACAGCTAACCATTTCAATCTCACTTTCCAATTTACCTTCTTCGAGGCACATCAGCTGCTTCCTACGCCTTACCTTCGAGTCCCCATCGTTGGACTCTCGCCGCCCCCTCCGCTTCGCTCTTCGCCACGCGACTCGTTCCTCGTCGCTGTTCCTCTGCGCCGTGCTCTCGCCAGTCGTCACAGGCGCAGAGAGGCCGCTGTCGGTTGGCGGGGGTCTCGGGGTCTTGCCAGGACGCGCGGGGCAGCAGTGGCGAGCGGTTCGCCTTCTCGTGACGCGTGTCAGACAAATGACTGGCTTTCCCGCCTGTATTTTAAAACGGGAAAATATTTTAAATTACAAACAAGGTCAGCCATGGACCAAATCATGTATAAATCATAGTGTAGAAATCATGGGCTGTAGATTTGCCGAAAAAACACCTGTAAATTCTTTTTTAGAAACAAGTTCAAATACGTAGAAATATTTGATCTGCGTCTCGTTATTTGTTTTTTTTTCAAAGAATACGTGGTTATGAAGAGTGGTTCAATGAGAAATATTGCGCTCATTCCTGCATTCGTATTGTGCATTTCAATGCTTTTGTCCTTATCACTTAGCCTGATGATCGATTTATAATAAAAAGAGGTCGTTTTATTAAATCGAGGTCTATAAAAAGTACGAATCGATCTAGCTAGATCGGCTGAGCTACGGCAGCCAAATCGACCGCTCGGGATCGATCAACCGCCAAATCCACATCGATAACTGTAAATCGGACCTTTTTGCCGTTTTGAAATGGTAATCTGATCCCGGCCATACGATTTCTGCCAAAGGCCAAAGGACTTGCTGTTGATACTCGCAAGACTGAAGCGATTGCAAAGTGGCCTACGCCACTAAACCAAAAGCAACTACAAAGCTTTTTGGGTCTCGCAGGTTATTACCGTCGCTTTATCCGTGATTACGCCATTATTGCGTTGCCTCTTGGTTCTCTTGTCAAGAAAGAACATGTCTGGAGCCGGGATCCAGAACAGACGCATTCGTTTGAGGAAATCAAATCCGCTCTTCAAGAAGCACCCGTGTTGCAGCTACCGGATTACGAGGAACGTTTCATCGTGACAAAAGATGCCTCTGGCTACTGTGTTGGTGGCGTTATCTCTCAAGTCATTTCAGGTCAAGATCATCCGATCGCCTTCTTCTCGAAGAAACTTGGTCCTCACGATATTGATAGGCCAACACACGAGAAAGAACTTTCCTAATTTATTAGCGCTGGACAAGTGGCGTCACTACCTATATGGTCGTGAATTTAATATCTACACGGACAACACTGCTTGCAAATGGTTTTTGCACCAGCCGAAGGTCTCAGCGAAATTAGCTCGCTATTTGACGTTTTTCGCACAGTTTACGTTCAAGTTGCATCACGTTAAGGGACACCTCAATGTGGTTGCCGATGCGTTGTCGCGTCAATCTTCGGAGCATGCAATCAATACGGTTTCGTTTCATCAGTGTACCGCGCGCTGCCATACCCGTGCAGCTCGAAACCTGACGAATCGACGCGTTATTACCGACTACCGCAGTCTTAACCAACATTTGGTTCGACCACCCTCTCGCCCTCAATTTCGTGGGGAGGATGTTGCTGCTGGTTACTACACGCACCATATTCCGACCTTAACTCAAGCTTGCCGACATGTACCAGTGGAAACTTCACGTACCGTCGCTGCAGCTGAGAATATTGTTGTGGCCACCAAGGTGACCCAACAAGCTCAAAATTGGAGCTCGCTCGGTTGGTCTGATTCGGCTAGCAGAGAGTTCGCTGCTGGATATCGCATTGCTCAGACTACGGAGATCGTTTTAAGCACCCGGAACAACCATTTGTCAAACAAAATGGTTTATGTTTCCGCAAGTATTATACGATGATGCGCTTGTGTGTTCCGCTTACTCAGGACAATCATCTTCGAACTTCCATCATCTCTTGCTTCCATGACTTCAATATTGCTGCTCATCATGGAGCTCATCGAACGTACCTTCGTAGTTTGCAATGGTATCATAGGCCCACCTTGGACCAAGACGTTCGCAATTATGTGCAAAGTTGTGAAACTTGCACTCGCCGGAAACACAGTAATGCTCGCAAGAATGGCAAGATGATTCTCATTCCGATCTCTGAGGAATGCTGGTCTGTCGTCTTTATGGACTTTATCACTAGATTACCTGATTCCAATGGTTTCGATGCAATCTTGACTGTTGTAGACAAGTTGGCCAAGCGCCCGAAGTATCGTGCGTGCAACCGGACTGATGATGCACAGAAGACTGCG